AAACGTAATAAGTGAAAAGTAATACCTTAAATTAACGTAAGAAACTCTCATTTAAATGTTTTGAGACAATCTGTGTTGCAGAAAATGTATTTATGTGGACTTCAATAGGCAATCTGATATTGCGTTTTTTAGGGATAGATCACGGCATTTAGATAGTATTAAGTTACGACATAATAATTAATGCGTTGTACGAAGACTAATCAAGATGCAAGGAGCGATACGTTTTTCATATACACTGGGTCATGAAATAGCGAATCCCCTAACCGTGTGCTTCTCGTTGACCAGGTCCTTTGACTGACAGACATATTTCACGAACACCTGTCAACCGATGGCTATCAAAATTTCCATACTGATTCTACAGTTACGATTGGTGCTAATAATATGGAAGAAAATTCCGAAAAATTCCTAAAATACATGCATTAAATTGATTACTCGCTTGATTACACTTCCCGCAAAGAGTGCGATTCGAATTAAGTCAAATATTTAAAAAAAAAATGAAAACTGTTAAGGTAAAATAAATGAGCACTTGCATACTCCAGAAGAAGGTACTTTGTAGAGTTCCGATGGATTTTACGATTGTCACTAACTGTGAATGTTTAAACTAAATATTGCGCAGCAGGCTTAATTGCGTTGAATATGACATGCACACAGGTATATATCCATGTTTTCTAGAGGGGATTCTATCGTGTATCGAATAGGTCACGTATAAGGATATAGTTGACAATTATTTACACTTAGTTCTATACATCTCAGTGGTGATTTGGTGACATTTCCTTGTATTTGTGATAAATTGTTTTGTTGTTTTGTGAATAACATTTAACTACAGGGTATATTAGCTACTATCGTACTACAGTGCTGGCATTTGTAAAGGCATGGGAATGGCGTGCATTAGAAAGCAGGATACAAGGAGTCAGACTGACCTGGCTGATGGTCTACACAAAGGGGAAATATTAGACGAAAGGCATACATCTGGTACATTTCACCTTGAAACATTTACCATGATACCAAGAAAGTTGTATTAGATCTAAACTTAAAATTGATTAATTAGTAAAGTGTTGAAAACCGAACTACCAGGTGGGGTATAATAGAGGGATATAAAGTGTGTACAGAAAGATATGTGAATAGAAAATATGAAAATATTTCAGACTGTTAATTTTGACAATCACCATAATAACTGAGACTAATAATTGTGGCTTCATTATTAATACCAAAAGACTTTAAGAAGAACTGTGTTGCTGTATTCGTCATAAATTCTACCTATGACCAAAACAGCCGCCCCGTCCTATTTTACGAACTACTGCCGCCGTTATTTAAGATCGACTAAAATCCAATTTAAGTTTTTTTTTTTTTTTTTTTTTTTTTTTACAAAATCCACTTCTCTTTTTCTCTAAATGAATCATTCAAACGTGTCAGTCACATTTCATTGCAATTACTAATTAGCTCCATATTGCTGCGTGAAACGGTGTGGACAAAGGAGTATGGACTGTTGTTGCATTGTGTGGAGAAGACGAAGAAGTAATAAAACTTGTTTACGCACAAAGAGCGCCGTTGTAATGCCAGTGTCATTATTCATCACCCAAAATTTATTTCAACAAAGCCCAATGCACCATCAGTCTCAATGCCCATTATGTGGTCTTATTTAAAAGCTCTAGAGATAAATCGCACGTGCAAGTGTTAGCCAAACAGTTAGGAACTCCTTGGCTGACACATGGGTACGACGATGCCATTCAATCCCTACATGCCTACTTAATCGTGGCTTTAAAACACCCAACCCCCGATTATTTGCTATTTCGAACCCATTTGTTTCACAACTGGTACCAAGACGGAGGGTCTGTCGTGTACACGTCCCCGTCGACGTAAAAGAAATTAATTATAGAAACCTCGGACACATTTGGTATGTTGCATACATCGTCCATATGAAATCCCTTCAGTCTCATCTTCATACCAAATTGATTCGTGCCTTGCACGGCATCACTCGAGGAAAATATCCACAAATACATATTGGTGCCTTAGAAGCCAGTCTCAGAAAAGTATTACGATGGGTTACGTCAATTACTTCAAGGCCATCATTCACATCTCTCGTCAAAACAAACGGTTTTTTTTAGAGAAATAAAGTAGCCTTGACTCAACTGGTAGATCCTCACATCAAAATTCAAACCAAAAAGGAAATCATTTTTAAACTTGGAGGTAGCTGTTTTCTAGGTGTTATCACAATTTACACCTTCTTAAAATGGGATCCCCATGCTCCCAAGTCATCCCTAAGCAAAAAACCACTCCGCAACCCAAGTGTACCCAGAATAAAAAGAACAGTATGTTAAGGCCATGCCACATTCACAGGAAAAGAGAATTCTCCAGAAAACAGATTCTTCCCGCAAGAGAGGCACTACAGTCCTGGCAAAACCTTACATTCCCAAACCATGACCATCAGCGACGGTGACCACGTCTCCAATAGACTCAGGTTCCTCCACTTTCACGTTGCTAGCGATGCAAGCAAAACCAATTTTGACCCCCGTTCTTCCCCATCTGATGCAAAAATGGAAACCCGTGTCTCCAGGAACTTTTTCTCCAGTGGTGATACCCTCCTTCTCTTTATCCGCAACTGAAGCTGCTAACAAAGAACCTGTCCCCAAAATCAAAGTCCAAGATAGATCGGGTTCGGGTATGCTACAAAGTTTACTGGATTTATCCAAGTAAGAACTGACGCTATTTAGTCCGTTCCGAACCCTCCACTACGCGTGATGCCTGTCAACAAGTTGATACGACGTAGAGACAATCAGTGGCGACACATTACACTATACAAAAGACCCGGGGCAAACAATATGTATCACTGTTTATGTGCTTCTGATCGCCAAAAGATGTCCCCTAAAAGAAGTGCACACCTCCACCACCATCCTCGTTCTCCTGTCCAAAATGGAAAAGGAAAAAGAAAAGGTCGTTTGAACCATCGTCCCTAAAAAGCGCTTAGCGAAGATTCGATGTCTACCCTTGAAAAGGCCCCATCGTCCAAAGAAAAATGAGGAGCAATCAAAGGGGATGATTGTTTGTCAATATAGGAGAAGGCGTCATCACATTTTACGAAAGTCAAAGAGTTGGTCAAACGACTGGTTACACACCTTATACCTACTAAAAAAAAGAAAGATAAAATGGCGTGTGCCAAGTCAGCGATGACAGTGTATTTTTGTGTGTAACCCGGAACAAACAATGATGTCACCCCCAGAAGTCATCCCTCTTCTACTCCCAGAGGAAAGAAAAGGAAAGGACTGCCTCATTGTTTAGCCAAACACTGGGACGTGCTGTCCGTCCTGTCCAAAACCCCTCCACCCATGCAAAACCAACTCATTCAAATTGCCTCCAAAGACGTCATCGATATTATATGCGAATTTTGTTTGAATATCTTGAAAGGAATGATATCTTTGTCTCAGCATTAAAAATAATGCTTAGACAAGTATCGACACGTTCATCGCTAAACGATGCAAAAGAAAATACTTAATTCGTCAAAAGAAAAAGATGTTGATATAACGCGGAGGATTTGTGACCTATTGGTAGCACCGTAATTGAAAGGAACATTGGGAAAAAATGATTCCAAAAATCAAGCCGGGGGTTGTTTCACAAATGGGTTAAAGACAAAAAAGAACAAGAAGATGAAAAGGACCTCTAAGCTCAAAATATATCAGACGTGACCTTTGGGATCTGATGGAAAGAAGAAAACTTATTTTAGTGACCTAAAAACAATGGATGGAATTCCATAGCTGGCAACAAGAACGGACCACGCACTGAACTCCAAATCCTCATTGGACCGAGATATCCCAGTTACAACACGAATTTCAACCGTTGATGGATCGTAGCGAATTGTCAGAAACGGAAAAATCTCAACAATACGGTCCAGTGCTTCAGCGACGTCAACTAATTCACCAGAAAGCTTTAGACGAAAAGGCTCAAAAGACTTTAAAACACTGATGAAAATCCATGACCAAGACAGACGCAGCTCCAAGGATGCTTGATGAAGAAGAGGCACGAGAAGTCTTTGAAACACCGTCAGTAGTTCCCATCCTAAGTAAGATTGCAGCGTTCTTCTTGACCCTTCTCCCACACCCCAATGAGAAGAAAGTAACGCCTGGCAAAGAATTTGACAAAACAAAGTGGCATCATCGAGTACCATAAAGTGGCTCGTCGCCTACCGATTAAATTTTCGGACGCCAAAACGTTGGCCATAACGTTTTGTCCTGAATTGTTTGGCATTTTAGGTGGAAACCTCGAGGATTAAATTTGATCGTTGTGTACCTGTTGTGCTGGAGCATGAAGTGGTGGTACACACATCCGCAACCTATCTATGTATGTCTCTATTTGTCCCTAGAGAAGCGCGTTTTTAGGTCAGATCCTTGCCACACTATTCTGCCTGATTGAGGCAGGTTGTTGCCAGTGTCCACTGCCGTGACATCAATTCCTTTGTCCCTAGACAGTCCCAATCCATTGTGAAGATACATTCCTTATGTTAAATTCTTCATGTTAAATTCTCATTGTCCCCACTGTACAAACTACCAAATTTAACATCGTCCCCCATTGTCTCTAGGGTGTCCCCATTAACTACTCACGGTAACCGTATTATTAGCTAGACAAAGGCCTGTACAGCAAGTACATGAATAGTCTTCACTTGTCTGAATTAGTTTGCGAGAACGTTAATGCTTTGAAGAATTTGATGCATAGATTGGATAGCTCGTCCTCGAAATAAAAATGCATATAATTGTTGTATACTTTCCTTATTTGACTATGTTGGTTGCATCTGGAATAATCATACTATGCGAGAAAAAGAATCACTGGAAAATTAAATTCCAGGTTATGAGAATTGTAACATGTGCAACCAAGAATGCTTTCGGAACAAAACTGCATAAAGATACTTGGCGAGGAGTCTTAAATACTCGACGCTGCATGCATAAAATATTTCACTTTTGTAAAATATATCGCTCGTTCATCCAAAAGTAGTCAGACCGCTTTGTGTAACCGCTCCAGTGGACTAACTGGTTAAAGCGTTCGCCTCGGATGCGGGAGGTCGCTAGTTCGAACCCAAGCTGAGTCATAACAAAGAATTATAAAAATGGTACTAATAGCTGTCTCACTTGGGGAGGTTAGTGTTAGGACTGGATGGCCTGGTGTCAGCATGAAAATCCAGTGCTCGACATCACTATAAACAGCCACACTGAATAACACAAACACGTGCGCGCACACACACACACACACACACACACACACACACACACACCGCTTTGTGTAGAACTGCCTTCCGCAATTCAAAACTTGGAATAGGTTTCCAATAGAATAATATTCAGACCGACTATTCAGAATTTCAAAACTTGTTGAATCGGGATCAACACATAACTCTTTCGTATTATTATATCGGAGATCACTGCATTCAAGCCCATTCGTATAATTGTGTTGGTGATCGCTTGCATTAAACCATTATGCACTATTGAGAATTAATTTATTTGTTAAGTTATTCTTAAATTAATGGTTCAAACAACTAGTATTGCACTTGCTCACACATGGAAACATCCAAAGTTGTAATTTTTTTTATAGTTGTTTACTAACGTATGTTAATATATCAAGTTAACTTGTTGATTTGTAAGACTGGAGATCAGGTTATTTTTGCTTGAATTTTACGTCACTTTTAAGTCCACTCAGTATGTTTTGTTTGTTTGTGGAGTAAGTTTATTTATGTTTTCCGTCTCCTTCTGAACAAATGAAAATATCTTGGCGGGCTGTTTGCATTCCAGTCAAAACTTACTTGCCTTTTATAGTGATTGTATAGCTTGCAAATTGTACGCAATGTTGTCGGCAATTCCTATTTTATCAACAAACTTCCAAAGGTCAGCAGACTGTTTTTTTAATGACTGACGCCTATAGTGTCATTTAATAATCTCACTTTAGATACTGTTTTTAGCTTACAACTTGCACAACTGCCTGTATAATTAGGTACTGACCTTTTAAGTTTGTTTAGGGGGTAGTGTTGGGTAGAGCAGCAGTTTTCTTTGAGCTGAGATATTTTTTCTGCTGTCTCAAAATATTTTCCCAATATTATAGTGAATATAATATGGTGTTATTTTGATATAAATTAGAGCAAGATATCTTTTACAGGTATTGACAGACAGAAATCTCCCCCAAAGCTCAAGGCCTCTGCCCAAGAACATTAAATTGTTGAACCCTAATGTAACCGCGGTATACTGTGGTTTGTATTTGGATATGTCCATTTACACAGCTCTAAATTTTTTTAAAACCTGTAGTAAATACTTATGAGGCACACTTTTTTCTTGCTAGATGTTTGCCACTTTGTTTGACACACGCTTACCATAAAATTATCTCTTTCCCTTGTACTGCAGACGTTACTTTTCAATCAATAAATAAATATAGAACCCTCTAAGTTTAATATAATACAAGCAGAACTTATTTAACAGGGCTTTTTTAAAATATAAACAAACATGACTGGTTCTCGATATTTTAGCAGCGAAAGTTCATTCTGCAATAAAAGAGGAAACCTAAAAGCTGTCTGGCTGAAAGGTAGGTCCAGTTGAAAGTGTGAACATCATAAAAAGAATGAAAGAAATCTCATTGATTAAACACTTGAGAACGATGACTGTGATTAAATGTGGTTCAATATTTTTAAAATTTACTTGTATTCTGATTATAGTCAATATCTGGAATAGTATGATTTATAAAATACATGCAGTTCTTTATCTTCCTAATTATGGACAAAAAACCAACAAAAAACAAAACAACAATAGTATGATTTCATTCAGTGGGTGCATTTTCTCGAAGAGGTAAATTTGACTGTCAGCCATTACTGAGTAACTCATCAGATGCTGTATAAAATAAAAACTCGACGTATTAAATTTAACTTGCAGTTGAACATATAAAATCTATGAACAGCTGAAATGAAACTGTCAGTACAAATAATGTATTAAACAGGTGAATTTGGAATTTTTGACAAACACCATTAAATTTGAATCAACTCTGTGCAATTCAGAAGTTAAAATCTAAAAATTCGGCAAAGGATGTGGAATTTTCAACCATGGCTGTTTAATTTAACTGAATTTTTTGTGAATAAACTCGACATACGAAAGGAAACTTTCAACGCAAACAATTTGCGTCAAACTCCTGAAACTAACCTTGCCAAAATACAGCACTGAATTTGAAGATTCTGGAGATTTACAAAAAAAAAAAAAAAAATCAGGCTATTTATAAAGTTCGGGCTATTTAAGCAATATTTGCCCATATTCATATGCAGCTAACTACCCTCAAAACTAAAATGAAATTTCTGCATTTGTTAGCAATAAAAAAAAACATTATTAGTTTTTAAATCTTTGCAAATTTTACTTAATCGCATATTCTATATGAAATTTATAAAGCTATGCCGTTTGTATGCATTTAACAGTCGCAACAAATGGCTGATTGGTTGGTGTTTACAGCACATCAGCATTTAAAGGTTATATCGCACCCATTACAACTGGAGAACAGTGCCATTCAAAGGAACATAACAAGAGAGCCGACCCGGGATAATCTAATGGCAACATTTCGAACCCGCATCTTTTTGGTAGCTAGTCTGACACGCTACCCAATGGGCTACTACGGCGCTGACTATTTCTAGGATAAGCTGTTCAAATTTTTTGAATTTTATTCTGATATTAAGACCTGTACGATTGCATTTAAAATAAATATATAAAAATAAAGCTTCAGATCGAGTTATCAAAAGCTGAAAACTATGAATGTGAATAATAAGGTTAACAAATAATATCGATTCAATTTGAGTGTTGCAATGTGTCGTCATGTGGCTTTCTGTAAAACATGCCACTTTACATGTGTGAAAATGAGCTGGTAAGGTATAGAGTGTTTATGGAACTATAATAGTCACCCGCCTTGCCTTTGTGGTATCTACTTTCTGCACATTTTAGCCCAAATTGCATCCCCTCGTTTTAGTGTATTGAAGCAGCGTCAATAAATAAAATTATGTGCAGATTCTTGGCTTATTTTTAGCCTTTATGTCGAGAACTTTTAAATACGGCAGTGTATCATCCTTTTATAACCCTCTTAGGTGTCCAATGACTGTTCATCTTTTTATTTAGCCCGCAGCAGAACCTTTTATGTATGTATGTATGTATGTATGTATGTATGTATGTATGTATGTATGTATGTATGTATGTATGTATGTATGTATGTATGTATGTATGTATGTATGTATGTATGTATGTATGTATGTATGTATGTATGTATGTATGTATGTATGTATGTATGTATGTATGTATGTATGTATGTATGTATGTACGTATGTATGTATGTGTGCGTGTGTGCGTTATTGCGTGCGTGCGTGGGTGCGTATGTATGTATGTATGTATGTATGTATGTATGTATGTATGTATGTATGTATGTATGTATGTATGTATGTATGTATGTATGTATGTATGTATGTATGTATGTATGTATGTATGTATGTATGTATGTATGTATGTATGTATGTATGTGTGCGTGTGTGCGTTATTGCGTGCGTGCGTGCGTGGGTGCGTATGTATGTATGTATGTATGTATGTATGTATGTATGTATGTATGTATGTATGTATGTATGTATGTATGTATGTATGTATGTATGTATGTATGTATGTGTGCGTGTGTGCGTGTGTGCGTTATTGCGTGTGTGCGTGGGTGCGTATGTATGTATGTATGTATGTATGTATGTATGTATGTATGTATGTATGTATGTATGTATGTATGTATGTATGTATGTATGTATGTATGTATGTATGTATGTATGTATCCACTTTTAATTAAAAAATATAAGGGATTAATGAAATATATATATATATATATATATATATATATATATATATATATATATATATATATATATATATATATATATATATATATATATATATATATATATATATATATATATATATATATATATATATATATATATATATATATATATATATATATATATATATATATATATATGTGTGTGTGTGTGTGTGACCTGATGAATAGATGGATAGATGATATGTGAAGACAATCAAATATTACTTTTGTGTCAGTGGTATTAAGTCTTAAATTACTGCCGGTATTTCTTAATCTCATCGTGCACTAGTTTGAAACGTCATATTTTCACGGCGTTTTCATTTCTTCTTTTGACTTTGCCGAGCCTTAATTGAACGTGGTTCAATACCAGTCTTCTAATCCAGAAAGGCGGCTATATTAATACTCCCTTTTAGGAAGCAACGCGACCGTCCGTCGGGCCTTCCTATTGGAGAATGTGCATTACGTCATTATTGGGGTTTCATCCAACCGCGTCAGGGTTAATTTGTGTCTAGAACGCCAAGATGTAGGTCGTGGTATATTTGCTGTACCTAATGGGTCATTGAGCGAACAGGGCTGTCGCGCGTTACGTCTTTAGGTAAATCTGCACTAATAACATTCAGCTATTGTACATTGTCTCAAAGTATCCAACTCTTAGCAACTACTAAACTTTTAAGAAAAAATAACTAAAGCCTTAAAAAGGCTGAAACGAATCTGAGTGTCTGTATGCGTGTATGTGCGTGTGTAGATGTGTGTGTGTGTATGTGTGTGTGTGTGTGTGTGTGTGTGTGTGTGTGTGTGTATCTAAATGTTGCAGCAAGAAATTCTTAGCCCCTATGCAAAGCTTAATTCTGGCGTTCCCTCTAAATACAAAATTGTTGCCTCAGAGCACCTGGGGCTTGTACTAGTTGCGGTCGGCTCTAAGATTAAATTATATATGTATGATAGTATTGTTGTATTAAACTAACTATTATTTCTGCCCACTATTATCAAGAATCTACTACAGAATCCATGGATAGCACAGTCTGTTTTGTCTGGTATATATATATATATATATATATATATATATATATATATATATATATATATATATATATATATATATATATATATATATATATATAGATATATATATATATATATATATAAATAGATATATATATATATATATACATACATACATACATACATACATACATACATACATACATATATATATATATATATATATATATA